TAAAAGATGATCAAATCTGGTGGAAATATTTAAAATAGGCTTTTCTTTTAGCCCTACCTCAAAGCAGCATGAGCTGAACACAAAGGTTGTAATGTTGTCCCAAAGTTTAATAAACAGTAAAACATTGGAACATGTCAGAGAAATAAATAAAGCTAACAGCAGCTACACGTCAGGGTAGCATTTTATAAATCCCACCGTACTGTAGGCTATACCGGTCTAAATGTTTTCACTTTGGTCTATTTATGTAATATAAATTATAACTTATCTATAACAGAGCCAAGATCTCTGTATGACTTTAGTAAACTTCTGAATTGAATTAAAAATAAGTGTAAACAACAGTGCAGTACGTCCAGCTAGCTAGTTAGCGTCACATATTTATCCGTATTATTTAACGAAAATGTACGTTTTAATGCCCCTTGGGTTTGACGTGTGTGACGTTAGTTAATTTAAAGTAAGTTAAAACCCAATACTCACATTCATTAGTGATTCCTCCGCTTGCTGCTGCTTTTAAATCCACTCTGCTGGGGAGACCGGAAGCCATTTCATTTGAAAACAACTCACTCTTCCCTGCGCGTATTGCACCCTGGGATATGGTAGGCCGCGGAGTGTACATCAGATGTATCCTTCAAATTGGGGAAAAGTAGGCTGCATTCGTGGGCCGCATTCGGAGGAGTCTCGTCTTTTTTTTTAATTGGGAGTGGGACAGCCTTCTTTCGGTGGAAGTGACGTATGCGGTCTACGAATGCACCCTTCGAAGGATGAAACCCCTGAATTGAGACACGGCCGAATAGTCCAAAAATCAGCCCCTCTCCCGACGTATTTATGATGCGCCAGCGGGCGTGATTAATGTGCGTCTGCCGCTGTGGGGAAACTACAGTTTTCTATACAGCGGACTACATGGATGTATAATAAGAACGGCGGACGCATATAGATACTTTGCACCGCGCTCTGATGGTGTTGTTTTATGCTTTATGAACGTGGACAACAGAGAAACATTCTTAATGAACGAGGTTACAATTGAAATAAAAAAGGAAAGTGAAACTTATGCTTGTCACCAGGGACGTGCACAGACATTTTGGGGGGCAGGAGCTCAAGTGAGAAAAAGGGCACTTCCCATAATAATTGATAAAAACAAAAAGTTAAATATAGTTGCACATCTCTGACTTACTGACCAATTAATTGTAATACCCTCACACTCACGCAATTGTTTAATACTCAACAGAATTCTACAAAATAATCAGTTAACACAGAGACAATGGTCTTCTTTAGTATTCACTAAGCACAAGAGCAGACAACAAACTAGTACAATTAATAGTTATTAAAGGAGCAGCCAACAATCAAAATTATGAAGTTACTGTTTAAGGACATTACAGGCAAAAAGATCGTTATGTCTGAATTCACCTATAGATATAAAGCTAATCTCGAACCAGATTTTCATCACCACGCACAGCCGACAAAAACTAACGTTCATATTTCTCTTTTTGATTATAATACTGATGAACGTTCAAAACAAAGCACTGGTGCGCAGAGGTGGTAGAAGTACTCAGATCTTGTAGTTAAGTAAAAAAGTACCAGATTGTAGGAATACTCTGTTAAAAGTACTGCATTCAGAATGTTACTCAAGTAAAAGTAGAAAATATTAGCATAAAAATATAGTTAAAGTACCAAAAGTAATCATTGTGCAGATTGGTCCATTTCAGAATAATATATATGATATGTTTTATAATGATTGATCATGAAAGTGTTCTCAAAGCTGGTAAAGGTGCAGCTAGTTTGAATGACTTTGTATACTGCAGGGTAGCTTGTGGATTTACTCCAGGTGGAACTAAAGTCTGATTTAACACTTGATTATATTTCACATCATTCATCCACATCTGTGACGTAACTAAAGGTATTAAATACATGTAGTGGAGGAAAAGTACACCATGTACCTCTGAACTGTAGTGAGTAGAAGTACTAAGTAGCAAAACATTTAAATACTCTAGTACAAGTACCTCAACATTTTACTCGAGTACAGCACAATATAATAACATAATTATATATATATTTCATTTATTTCACATTTAAATAAAGCAATGTTAATTTTGTTTATCATTTGTTTAGTTTTTCCTTTTAACAAAAAGTACCTATAAGAATACCATTAAAGTACAGGATCGATAAGCAGTATCGATAAGAGTAGTAGTACCGTTAAAAACCTTAACAATACCCATCCCTAGATATTACACAAGTGTTAAGAGAGTGAAATGTTGCTTTACGAATGTCAACACTTGATGCTGTCACATTGATTCCAATTTCAGATACCTGTATTTGCCAAACTGAATTAGTTTAAAGAGAGAAAACATTTTGACTAAAAGCTGACTGAAATGTAATGATTTTTCATCAACTAAAACTAGACTAAAACTATGAAGGATAAAAAGGACTAAAATGTGACTAAAACTAATAACCATCAAAAATAGCCTCCAAAATGAACACTGCTTGACCGACTAAACTGTATATAAAGTGTTGAAAACGACTTCACCTGGAGCAGCTACAAAAGTAGAAATCTGCTCTGATGCTTCAGGATCAACAATGTGTTAATGTAGCATAGAATCAGATATCAGTCACATTTCACTGTTCTATGAGTACAGCATGAAGCTGAGGATACTTCTGTACTTTTACTGCAAGAAGATGAGAATACTTTTACTTACATTGATGTTCAAATGTTCCATTGTATAATGTTGAAGTTGGTTCATGGTTTCGAAGCATTTGTTGCAGTCATAAATGGCGACATCTGCTGGGCAGCTCCTTGTGGTACATTTACAAACCCAAAGAAAAAGAGAAGTCCTAAAGGTGTTTTCTGAATCCTCAAAGATTCAAAGATATCCAGATTCACATCTTTGTTTCCAAACCAAAACAAGGACTGCAACTGGTTGGCTACCTGGACAGCAAAGAAGTTTACTGTGTCTCCTTTAGGAAATCTGTCACACTGCTTAAAATATATCAAACATATTTGTTAAAAAATTTGAAAAGCTTCCCAGTATACAAAGTAATAAAAATGATCTGGCCTTTTCAGTTGAAGCACTTAATGGATGAAGGCATTCATATGAATTTAATTATAATCCAATAATAATTGAATCAATTACTCTCACTTTTAATATTATAATATATGTAGTATTTCTAGTTTTTTTAACATATACTTCTTACTTTTGATTCAGGAGGACTCCTGGTGGCTGCAGAGCTTCAGTGTCTTCAGTGAGTCTTTTCAGCGCTCCGTTAGAATAAAGACAGCTGATCTTCACACAGTCACACCTCCAGACAGATACTGCAGAGCTTGAATTAATGAACTGTATGTAATCATTCGGAAACAAACCTATCTAGAATGACTTTGATGTGACATGGACAGGCGGCAACTATTTGACTTGTTTACGATGACTTTAAGAGAAGTCTATGTTCTTTATTGTATACTATTTTACACGTTTTGGCTTTTTAAAAGATGGAAAAATATTTATAGACTAGCTGACTCATATTCGAATGAAAGGAAATAAAGATGTCATACGTGGCACTAGACCATTATGTAGGGAGTTTAAATAAAAATAAAAATGTCTCTGTATAAAACCCCCTCTTTAATTCATAGCTAGTGAAGCGTTTCTCATGTGAATGGGGTTGTGCTGGTTACATTTTGTCGAACAACAAAACCTCAGTATTCCTAAAATAGCTGTGGGTATGGTTACAGGTACAACCCACCACACCTGTGATGAAGGGTGTGTTAGTGTGAAGTTGTAGTCTTGTCTTACCTCATGCTTGCATTGACCCAGGTGTCTCTCCTCCTGCAGGTGTGGTTCGCACCGGGCTGTCCCGTCACTGCAGTCTGTGGCAGAAGGTGTTCATCGAGCCCATCGCCCGGCTTCTGTTCCTGGACCCGGAGGCCGGCGCTCAGACCACGCTGCACTGCTGCCTCCAGGAGGGCATCGAACCTCTGAGCGGGCGCTACTTTGCCTGCTGCGCCGTGCAGGAATCGTGCCCGAAAGCCCGGGACGACGCCGTGGCCCAGAAACTGTGGGAGGTCAGCGAGAGGCTCTGTGGAATCTCTTAAAACACTTATCTTCTGCTGTAAATGGATTGTTAAGTCCAGGAGGGATCAAAGTTAAAAAACTCTTCACTCTGTCTTTGTTTTCCCGCCCTTTTTGTTTTCTTCCCGCCTTTTTGTGATTGTTTCCCCCGCCCTGTCTTTTGTTAGTCATTAGTTCTGTGTGTACATACGCCTCTCTTTCCCAGAGTTTTTCTGGGCGTTGATGTTTACCGTGGTTCTACTCATCAATGTTTCATCGATGTTTCTCTCTACCATGTTTCCTTTCAGCTGTTTCTTCCTCTGGACTCGCTGCCTGTTTTCCTCGTGCCATCCCATTTTGTGTCTACTTTAGTTGTGCTGTTTATCTTTTGTTTAGTGTTACCTTGTCTGCTCTCTTAGTTTCTTGTTAACCTGTGTTTGGTCTTAGCTCTCCTTTTTCTTATTTAAAAAAAAATAAATAAAAAAGCGTTTACTCTGTTATTCAAGTATTTTCTGTAAGACTTAAGTCACATTGCCTGTACCCATGTCATGATATACATTGGTTCAAAGTTTTGCTGTAGCATCTTTTATTTACAGTATTCTTCCCCTCTGGGAACAGATGTTGTTATTTATTGTCTGTTTATTGCACTCAGTAAATTGATCACGATCTGACTGTTATTTTCTGCTGGTTCACTTTAATATTAAATTATAAAGGGGAACTCATGAGTCTGTAGTACAGAATGTTACCTTTATAGGGACCTTACTTTTAATTTGTATCTACTGTGGTATTCATCTATTATGGTACTGTAATATATTTCACAGGGTAAAAAGAGTCTTTACATTTTGGGCTCATAGCAGCCATGCATTAGGACCTATTTTGTTAATCATTAATGAATTGATGTTCTTATTAATATGTTTTAATAATAAGGTTTGAAATCCTGGACTTAAAAATATTAAAATAATAAACAAGTACCTGCAGGCAGAGAGAGAAGGAAGGAGAGACTTGAACTCAATACTGAAGCGTTAACATCAGTGAGACAAATGAAACAGTGAACATATCACTGGTTCAGAGAAGCTGCTTGTTCACGGCGCCATCTGGTTCGTCTTTGGTCCTTTCTTCTTTAAAACCCTAACCCTGCAAAGAGGACAAATGCATCAGTTAGCCAAAACCCAAAGTCTTGCTGTAAACAACAAATGGAATATGTAAGATCACTGACATCATCCTCCTGTTAAAGAGACCTCTGATCTTTATCTACAGTACTGACCTTTGAGCTCGAGCCTCACCGATCTCTTCCATATGACGTCTCCGTCCCTTTCGACGGTGCATGTGTATGCACCGATATCTTCATGACTGGGGTTAATCAGGGTCAGACTGAGATCTCCAGCTTGCAGGGGGTTTTCCCTCATCTTTGTGCGGCCTCTGTAAGAGTCGTCCTGCTCCTCAGACGTGTCTTGGCCATTCTGATACACATGAACTGTCGAGGAATTGGATAACTCGAAACGTTTCCATTTCACCGTCGCATCTGCAGGCAGCCGAGCTCTGGTTTTGAAGGGCAGTGTGACACATTCAGTCAAATCCCTGACCTTCACCACCTCCTGGGGGACTAAAAGGGAAAACAGACCCTCAATTTAGAAACAGCAGCATTGGTGATACCATCTGATTTCATATCATTTCAGTCCATTAAATGGCTAAATGGCTATCAGTGGTTAGTAATGTCCTAGATAAGGGTGAGAATGGGCCGTTACAGAATGTGTTGTAGTGTATGTATGCAAGTAGGAATGTAATTTTAAAATGTAACCATGATAATCAACCTAATTCTTAACGCCTAGTTTCGGTGATAGATCTTAAACTGAAACCAAACAGAATTAAAACTCTTTGGGAGTCGAGGTGTATTATGGGGCGGTGCGGGGTGGAGGATAGAGGCTAGCAAATGCAGCAGCAGTCAATATTTATCAGCTTTTTCTCATCCTTAATGAATAAACTACATGCGAAAGATAAATGTATTTACAAAGAGAAGCTCTTCACTGAAGCAGAGGAGTATTACAGGTCAGTCAACAGGTTGCGATCAGTAGTATCCTTTAAAGATGGCCGACTTGCTGTTGATGACGTTATATTCTCTATAACATGCTAGCAGCTGCAGTCTACACTCTCTGGTATCTAAAATACTGACCATTGACTCGGAGCCGTACTACTTTCTGTGTCACGGCTTCTCTGTCCTTGTGGACGGTGCAGATGTAGGTTCCACGTTCCACTGTCTCTGTAGCAGGGCTCCCTGAGGGTCAGACTGAGGTCTCTGGTTTTCAGTAGTTCCTTCTGCATCTTTGTGCGATCGCAATAAAACTCATCTTGTCTAACAAGATGGTTGTTACCGTTACAATATTCGTGGACCCTCATTGGCTCGAGGGCACAACGACTCCACTCCACGGTGACGTCTTCAGGTAGAGTGACTATGGTTTTGTAAGGAAGTTTTACAAAGTACTCTCCCTCTTCCACCACTACAGAAGAGACTGAGAGGACAACAAACAACAGCATCAGCAGCACGAACACACTAACTGTGATCTTAACAGGTCCTGTGACAACATACTACATACCTGTGATGGTTGTGTACCACCAAACCAAGGCAGCTACAGCCAGAGCAAGGCAAACAGCCAGCATAGGATATAACCAAGGAGGAAATGTGGGCCGTTCTGTTGGCAACATAATCAACAACATGACTTTCTCTTACTGTACACCAAACAGCAACAATATTCTATGTAAAAACCTTTTTTTTGTATTTGTTAAGGAAAATTGGCGTTGTCGGCAGGATACCAACAGCTCTTCAGAGACTGGTAAGTGTGATTTCAAATCTACATTTGGACATTGCCTTGCCAGAATCTGTGATTGACGGTATCCTAAAATTATCTGTGAAGCTAAGCGGCTGCGTTTCGTTTTGGTTAATGAACATTTGGGGCTAGTAACCCCAGGGGATCATCCAGGGACTCTGTCTTGGCTGGTTCCCTCTGTGTGTGCTGCTCGGGACGTATGTGCCGTGCAGGCATACACGGAGATGTTTAAAAAGACCTTAATGAGGGCAGCAGTAAAGTGGAACTTCTGTGTGAAATCAAAATAGAGATTTGTAATGAACAAATCGCAGAGATTCCGGGGGTTTCAGCGGCCAACACTAGCAGTTAACTAAAGCAGCCATAGATATTACCCCCAGCGCCTCTAAAAAAAACACGGCTCCAGCTGCTGCAGCTCCGGGGAATGTGTGTAACATACCTCCCCGTATCTGCATGAGCTGGTGAAGTGAACTCAGAGGGAGAAAATCACAGCTTTTGTCTATAACTTTAACTCACACCACCGCCGTCTCTAGTAAAAACGAGATGGTTTAAAAGCACTCTCGTGGCTTGTGGCCGTTTACGATGTGCTGGCAAGTGCGAGGTGCGTGCATTACCTGATGCGACAGGCTCCCTACATTGCTGGAGGAGCTGGTGCCGGTCCGGGGTGCATACATAAAATTATAGGCTAATTGATCATGGGTGGGCAGTGGCATGCAAGTGTAGAACAAAACTGTGTTTCATCGTTGTGATGAACATGATGGCGTGTGTATAGGCTGGTCGAGAAGGGCTACAGTTAACTGTGTAGTTTCGGATAGAAAGGGTAGCGGAGAAAAAAGTCTATGTGCTCCAGATCGGGGGGGCATAGCACCACTAGAACAGGGATAGTGGGGTCGCAAGAGGATAAGCTAGTTATTGCTCTTGGACGGTCTTCAGGCACCGATCAAGGACTTGTATACAAGGGTGGGAGCGCGAGTCAAGGTGCCCCACTGGGTTCCCCATTGAGGGAGAGATCATTCCCTACCCCCTCTGAAACCTCTTTAATCCGGACTAAATTGAGCTGGATGAACTTTGCTGTCACGCTGGTGTTTATTATGAGTTCATGTTTGTTCGTCTAATTGCAGTGTGGTTTTTCTTGTACTAACCGCCGTCTTGTGCATGTTTTGTAACAACTAATAATGAATCAGTCCATAGCCAGGGTAAAATAAACTAAGCTTTAGTTAACTCACCAAAAGTAAATGACTTGAGAAAAATAAATAATATATAGTGTTTTGCAAAATTCTGGTAGTATAGATGTGCTGCAAAATGAAAATAAATAGCAAAAGAGTGTTTGTATGTCCTGCATCTGAGTGTGCAGAGGAACATGTAAACAAGGAGCACACTGTTCAGGGTGTGCGCTGTAGGTGTAAGAAGAAGAGAAGATTATATTACTTTAAGAATACATTCTTAAATTGTATTGCTGGTATGTTTGTGACCTTTTATAAACCCTATGCCCCGTCCTGCACCCCGAGACCCTCATAGGCATCACTGCTGGTCGTAAAGACCTGCCTGAGGAGGTCAGGGTGGCAAAATCTGTCTGCTGTTTTAGGTCAATGTTGTATTATTTGTTTAATTTATTCTTAAATCTATGTATTGTATGGTAATAATGAAAAAAAACGTAATGTATTGAACACATTCCGAAACAAAGCTGATAAGACAGAACTAGACTCAGACATAATACAAATTATTGTTGAAACATTTTGCGCTGTTGCTGCAAAATGGAAACTTTGTTGATTATCTATTCCAACTGGCCACTGGATTCAGATAATTAATATAAGTGGAAGTTTTAATTACAGTTTTAAATATAGTTTAACATTCTTTATTAAACTGCTTCAAATGATTTCTCGTATCAACCAATTGGTCTCCAGAGACATTACTACAATTATAATAGTTGTTAAACTACTGACAAGTTTTCTGAAACCGAGTTTATGGACAAAAGAGTAAAGGTCGCTGGTTAAGCCAGGATCAATATATTTGTTGACATTTTCATTACAGTGTGCATAATAAATGTGTTAAATGAATTGAGCAATTCTTTAAAAAAGTATAATGTTGCAATCTCTTTACAATAAGTCATTACAGTTAACAAAGAAGTAGAGGTTGTTTTCCAAGGGCCTCTCCTTCACAGCCCTACACTTTAAATCATGAGACTTTCAAATCATAACAGACAGAGATCGGTATCACTTTGTGTTGCAAGCCAAATCCATGTAAAGGTTCTACTTGAGCCCGATTTAAATACCATAAAGAAAGTATTGAACCCAGCTCAAGCTAAATGTCAAATGTATTTAATTAATGTGCAAGTGTTTTGATTTATTTCAAATGTTCCAGTCTAGCTTTTTTCGAGTTCAGTCTAAGCAACAAATTGTTTCTCATAACATTCTCACTGCTGTCCCAAATGTTTTAACCTTGGGCAGACAAGCTGTTCACACACCCACACACACACCCACCCACCCACCCACACACACACACACACACACACACACACACACACACACACACACACACACACACACACACACACACACACACACACACACACACACACACACACACACACACACACACACACACACACACACCCACACACTTTGGATAAGTAGTCACCTTATCCACATTGTAAATTGTTGCCTTCTTTAAAGTTATTAGTAATTTAAGATTAATTATTAAATTAAATGTGGTAGAATAAGATAAAATAAATAAAATAACTTGACTTGATCATTTTGTTCACAACATTAGACCTGTCCTCTAATCTCTACTAGAATAAGATAAGTGTGCATGTTTGGATGTTTTATCACTCCTGTAATGTACCTAATCTTATTATCCATTTCATTACAGAGCTGGGAAAATGGTGTATTGATTAGATTCTGATCCGTGCACGTCCAATTTTGACTGACTTTAGTTCTAATGTTAATGTTAATTTGACTTCAACCCATAAGTAATTATTTAAATTAACTCTAAATGTCACATGATGATGGATTAGGGTTCCACATTTCTTCCACTAATTTGTTTTACAATCAGGCCAAAGGTAAAGAGAGACATTGATGACCTTGTGTCCCTTTTGTTAGTACGTGGTTCCATTTTGTCTATGGCCATGGACGGCTTCACTAAAAGTCACCCAGTTCTGCCCTGCTGCAGTCCGGCTGAGTGCAGTCACAGAGATGCTATGGCTGCTCTACATGACATTAATGGTCTGGTCTGAATGGACACCACTTCCTGCTCCCAGAGAGAATGACACTCCTCAAACTGAACATTACAGCCGTTGATACTGTCTCACATGGGTCTGCTCCCCCCCACTGAGCCATGAACTGAAAGCATGACATCTGCTATGAACACTTGGAAGCCTCCCTGTCACACCAGCACCAACCCTTGGGTCAGTCAGATGAGACTAACGGCTTCACTTAGGGCATTTGGTTCAGATACATGACTCTCGTTACCGCAGAGTGGGTTGTTTTTAAGGCTATTCATACTGCTATGCAGAGGATGCCTGTAAGTGGGCGAGCTGGTAAAAGCCCCTACTATTGTTTCAAATAGGCCTAATGTCAGGGGTCTCTTAATGTCTAGTTCTACATGTATTCACATTACATAGACAATGTTTCCACCTGGTAAAACTAAAGGCTGCACAAAACTCAGGCTACAATACAACCATTCTGTTCTGCTCTAACGATTCAATATATAGATTCTACATCAAAACAATTAGCTTTTATTGTTTCCAATGATAACGTCACCTTAAGTGGAGGAATGCAAACCTGTTTTCAAATGTAAGGTTTTGATTTTGTTTGACATTTCTCAGTAATGACACCCTCAGACACCCAGTATCATTCATGCTATGCCTTCAGTAATAACTCAGATGTTAAAGGGATGAAACTTTTCCTCCCAAATCAGATATGCTTTGTTTTTCAACAAATGTTTCCATTTCCTGCATAATACATGTTTCTCACAATGGGTTTTTTGTAAACTGCACACAGGTGATACTGAGTCTTCTCGATTAATAGATTATAAACTATACCATGCTTAAATAGACTCCTAAGTTATTATTTCATATGTACCATATGTAAGAAAAGGGAGGGAAGAGTCAATTATATTGAGTAAGTTATTTTATATTGGGTAATTTATTTCTCAAACCTATGTTTTATGGAAGAGACAAAATATTTCTGATAAACTAATATGTTATCAAAAGGTAAATGGTGAATTAATATACATTTAGAATCATTGAGAAGGGGTTATATCCACAGGGACAAGCTCACCTTTAACTTACAATAACATGTCTCTGCTATGGACTGATGAGTATATGATTCTTGCATGTTCAATGACTAACACAAACCTTCAAAATGATAATGTGCATGTGTCAGGAAGGCTCCCAAATAATTCTGAGGGGCCTATCCTATTTTTGTAATTAAATGATAATGGGCTAATCCATTACTTTGAGTTGTCTTCACTCAGATAAACATCCCTATCAAGTGTTAACCCAATAACTAGGACAGCTCTCAAGGCCAAGGGTCAGAGAGAGAGGGTCACACTCTCCGGGTGCAGAGAGCACCCCCAGCCACGTGCAAGGAAGCACGAGGTCGTTCGAGATGGGATGCTTCTCTTCACCTTTCTGATAAGATGGGATGCTTCTCTTCACCTTTCTGATAAGATGGGATGCTTCTCTTCACCTTTCTGATAAGATGGGGTTCTTCTCTTCACCTTTCTGATAAGAGGGGATTCTTCTCTTCACCTTTCTGATAAGATGGGATGCTTCTCTTCACCTTTCTGATAAGATGGGGTTCTTCTCTTCACCTTTCTGATAAGATGGGGTTCTTCTCTTCACCTTTCTGATAAGAGGGGGTTCTTCT